CTTCTGGAGACGAGGAAATGTCAAAATTGGTGTTTGAATGAACTAGTAACTCCTTGTTGTTGTTGTTGTTGTGAAATGCTTGATTTCGAATTCTAAATACAATACATTCGTTTGTGCACATCTTTAATTCTTGATACATATACTTCTAAATACTACACTGGCGTCGCGATGGAACTTGTAATGGAACAGCTAGATATTCATTCTACTTCTGAAGCTTTTGAAGATTATTTGGAAAGGTTTGAAATCTGGAGTATGACCAGGAAAGATGTTAAAGATGATAAAATTGTGGCTTATTTCCTAACATTCATCGGAAAAGAAGCGTACAGCTTATTGAAAACCTTGGCATATCCAGAAAAACCTATTTCACTTCCCTATGCAATGCTTAAGGAGTTATTATTGAATCATGTAAAGTGCCCTGGTTTTGAATGCCTTGAAAGAGCGAAATTTCATAAAATGATTCGTCAAAATGACCAAAATGTTAAGGAATTCATTCTTGAATTGCAGAAACAGGCTGTCAAATGTAATTTTGGTGATCAACTTCATGTGCAGATGAGAGACCGATTAATTGCAGGAATTAACATACCTAGTTTGGAAAGAGAGCTGTTGGGAATGTCAAACTGTTCCTTTCAAGATGTTAGAACTGCGTGCATTAACTTCGAGGCATTGAATGAACTTGATATTCAGTCGATGAAGATTTCCAATACTTTGATTAGTTGTCATGATGAAAAGCAATCTCAGGGTCAATCAAAATTGTGTTCGTTTAACAGAGGTTCCTATTCTCGTGTAAAAATGAACGGTGTCTCAAAAAAGAATTACAAAGGAAATCAAAAAGGTGAGACCAAGTTTGGCAAATGTTTATCATATGGAAAACTTCATTCTCGTTATTATTGTACATTTCGTAATGCTAAATGTTTTAGATGTGGTAAGATAGGACACATTCAAGCAGTATGCAAAGCTACTGTTCATTTTGCCTCAAGTAGTACTAAAGCTTGTAATTTAGATTCCAATAATTCAGCTGATCCTAATGATCATTTATCTTTGTCTACCATTTCGAAAGGTAATGCTCATATTCAAAAGCGACTATATACATCGCTTGGTTCATTTCATGACTTTATTGTGGACACAGGTAGTATAGAGTCCATTATTTCATTCAAGAACTTGAAATCGTTAGATCCGAACGTTGTAGTGCGACCCACTGAAGTATCAATATTGGGGATAACTGGACACAAACTGCCTATACGAGGATGTTGTAAATTGCTAATAAGGGATGATAATTCCTCATACATACCATGTGAATTCTTAGTTAGCGAAACGGGACTGTCAATACTGGGTTTAAAGAATTTGAAAAGGCTTAAAGTGGAGTTGTCTCTCCTAGTTTCTAAAGAAAATTCTGATGCTTTACTTAAAGATTTGATAGCCACGTGTGCTAAGTGCAGTGGAGGTATGAAAATCCAGCCTATAAAACTTCAAGTACAGGGTGAACCAGTCTTTCTCAAAAGACGAATAATTCCTTACGGTCTTCGAGATGCAGTGCATAAGACTTTGAATGATTTGTGTACAAAAGGTGTAATTGAACCTGTTCAGTATTCAGCATGGGGTAGTCCTATTGTTACGCCACTGAAATCGGATGGCAAAACTCCTAGGATATGTGGTGACTATAGACTAACCTTGAACTCCCGTTTATTGAAGCAAACATGCACTACAGTAGAGGCTGAAGATATCCTAAATCGACTTCATGGTTCTAAAGTGTTCTCGAAAGTTGACCTAAAAGATGCTTATCTTCAAATCCCTTTAGATCAATCCTCATCTATTTTGACGACAATTAATACTCCTTTTGGTCTAGTTAAATACAATTTCCTTCCATTTGGGCTAAGTTGTTCTCCAGCCATATTCCAGGAAGTTATGAATAAGGTGGTTAGTGATCTTGAAGGTGTTGAAGTTTATCAAGATGATCTGATTGTTCATGGTGCTGATAAGGGAGCTCATGACCAGAGACTTATTGCTTTATTGCGTCGTTTAATTGAGAAGAATATTACAGTAAATCCAAATAAGTGTTCATTTAGTGTATCTAGTTTTGAATGTCTTGGATACCTAGTTGATGGTAATGGTTTTAGACCAGATATGAAACGACTAGCTCCACTGACAAATGCACCATCTCCAAAAAATCTTATGGAACTACGTTCACTAGTGGGTGCTCTTCAATACTATTCCCGTTTTATTCCTAATTTTTCTTGTCGTGCAAATTGTTTATTTAATATTTTGACATCCAATTCATTCAAATGGGGTGAGGAACCAGAGTCGTGCTTACGTAGTCTACTAAAGTTTCTTCAAAGTGATGCTGTTCTTCGAACTTACTCCCCTAGTGTACAGTCTGTGCTTATCACTGATGCATCACCTGTGGGTATTGGTGCAGTTTTAGAACAGGAAGGTAGACCAGTTATTTGTGTTTCATGCAAACTTACTGTTACTGAACAAGGCTATTCACAGACTCAGCGAGAGGCATTAGCTGTGTTTTGGGCTGTTAAAAGACTTCATAAATATTTATTCGGAAAGAAATTTACTATTGCTACTGATCATGAGGCTTTGCAGTTTATTTATCATCCTGAAAAATCCTTAGCACGTGCCTCAGCTGCTATGGTTCAACGATGGAGTATTGCTTTGAGTGCCTACGACTATACGGTTCAGCACAGGAGTGCCAAACAAATTAAACATGTTGACTACATTTCTCGACAGTCATTACAAGATAAACCTATTAATACTTCAGACTGTTTGTTGGTGCAACCTTTACCAGTGAAACGTCCAGATCTCATTAGAGAAACTCGTAGAAACTTTGGATGTATAATTCATGCTATACGGAAAGGTTGGAATGCTAATCTGAAACGCAGATTCCCTACCTATTTTTCAAAGCGAGATGAGCTATCCACTACTCCTGATGGTATTTTGTGCTTAAATGATCGGGTTGTTATTCCTCCCTCATTGCGTAAAGCTGTCCTGGAAGATCTTCATAGTGGACATTTAGGTGTTGAGAAAATGAAGTCCTTGGCGAGGCTCACGTGTTGGTGGCCAGAGATAAATGCAGATATTTGTCGTACAGCAAACAATTGTGTAAAGTGTCATAAGCTGAAAAATCAGCATTCGAAGTGGACTCCATGGCCAGTATCGTCGGAAGCCTGGCAGAGAATTCATGCAGACTATTGTGGCCCGTTTCTTGGCAAATACTATGCACTTGTAGTCATTGATTCTTTTTCAAAGTGGCCTGAAGTTTTTTTCACAACTTCACCAAATTCTGACTTCACAATTCAAGCATTAAGAAAGGTGTTTAGTCGAGAAGGGGTTTCAATGGTATTAGTGACTGATAACGGCTCTCATTTTGCTGCAGATGCAGTTACTACCTGGTTAAATGGTATAGGGTGCAAACATCTGTTTACTGCTCCCAGACATCCTTGTTCTAATGGTCAGGCAGAAAATTTTGTCAGGACGTTGAAAACTGCTATTGATTCTATTGCCGCCTCAACATTTAATGAGCTGGAGAGGGGAGTAGATACCTTTCTACTGCAATATAGAAATGCCAGACATTCAGTGACGAAAGAGACTCCATCAAAACTATTAAAAGGAAGAATTCTTCGGTCGAATATGAGATGTTTGGAGTCTGCAGAAGTTACATATTATCGTGGCAATGAGCTTCGACTATCCACGGGGATTGTTCTGAAGAATGTTGGGAAATCTATGGTGCGACTTCTAGATATCAATGACTTAAGTACACACAATCGACATGTTGATCAAATACAATTCCAGGAACCAGGTGAGTCTGTTCCAATTCCGGTTGTTAATTCTAATACTAATGAGAGCATTCTAGATAATACAGAGCCTTTATCCAATAAACTGTCGGACAGACACAGGATGAATTTGAGGAGAAGACGTACAATTGATTACAGACATATACATTCCAATTTAAGCTGTGGCGGATGTGGTGTTTGAATGAACTAGTAACTCCTTGTTGTTGTTGTTGTTGTGAAATGCTTGATTTCGAATTCTAAATACAATACATTCGTTTGTGCATATCTTTAATTCTTGATACATATACTTCTAAATACTACAAGGTCCCACCCTTGCATATTATCTATGGGTCAAGAATTTCTGTTGATAAGTTAGCATCACGGACTTCATTGCCTCTGCTGATCGGAGCGAGTGGTGGTGGATTGGCGACTCGTCCCCATGATAAGGAATGCTGTTCCAGGATAGGATATGACCAGTTTTACGACGTGTTGTACATGTTCATGTGGGTTAATTGGGTAAGGTTTATACTACCGTTAGGTCATGCTACGATAGATAGGGGAATCAAGGGCCTGATGGGAAAGTATAGGTACCTAGTTAGCACGATAGTTCATATCCATGTTGGATGGCGGGTAGGCGTACTGCTGTAAGTCCTACTCGTTCTTCCGGTGTGGATTAGGGGATAACTGGGAACCCTAAATAGAAGTGTCATTAACGCTTGCTTTTTGCATGGAGGGATTTTGCGGGCCGGTGTAGAATCCTTTTTTGAATGTTTTGGTTTTTTGGAAAATCCCTCCATGCTTACATATTTTTGTTATGACATGACGGACTTTTTCTGTTGACATTTTTGGTATTTTATTTGATTCCAATTTGAGATTTATCATTGTATATTGTTATTATTTCTATATTTTGTACTTATATTGAAGTTTTTGTGTTTGCTTCTGATCTGTATATATGTTGTTTAAATTTGATCTATAATATGGCTACAGCCATATTTGGTTTGATGCAGTGGCCGCTGGACTTAACGTCACTTATCTATTTTTGTTTCTGATACTCTTCGGAGTAATTGTATCCTGGAAGGAGCATTAATTCCAGGTGATGCTTTGTATTTCCATGTTTTTATTTAAATAAGACGCTTTCTCCTAGAAGTTTTGTCCTTTTTGATTTGTTAGGACCTGGGACTGGGAGAATCGTACAGGAGTGCACCTATTGGAACCCATTGGAACGGCCACTGTAGAAATACATTTACAGGGAGTCCTAGGTTTTCATGCTGTGTCACCCTTATATGCGGTTCTGGTATTTCTGTCCACAGTGCAGAATCACCGAGACAAAAATATTAGCATTAGCGAAACCACAAGCCCCACCGAAAATCCACGCATGTAAACTTAACTCGCTTAACACTTAACCAACGAAATATGCGGCAAAACTGGCCATAACCCAAATCAGCACATTGACAAATCTGCCAGTCTTTGCAGACCACAAGTATTTGTTGACAGCAGGGAGCAGTGCGTGAGTGTATTAGAGCGAAATGTTACAAATCGGGGACGTGGGTATTAGATAGGATTCGCTAGTTTTATTTATTAATCCAGTGTTGGTGGGTAGCTTACTGGAAATCGGGGCTGCCTTTGATAAAGAACAACGGGAAAAGTACAACGTAATCCTTTGAATGAGCGCAACCTGCCCAAAATATACTGTCCTTTGAAAGGTAAGAATGTTGGAATCAGGGAACCTCTTCCTTTGATGGTAACCTCAGACTCGATACAACTTGCTGTAGATATCCTCCCCACGTCCTAAAGGCCCTTGGTTAAGTTGTCATCCCTGATCCAAGTCAGACATGACAAAACGTGGTCCGCATGATTTGCAGACAGGACATCACTAGACACTCAAGAGCATACCATTATGACAGTTTACGGTTTGCCCCAGCTTTTTAGCGGTAGCTTGGACGAAGCTCAAGTGCATGACGTGCAACAGTGGCAATGGCTGTCACCCAGTGCGGACCTTCTCATCACCACGGCAACTAGCGTTTCGTGGCTCTCTTTTCCGTCACATCTCACGACCATTAAGTCGCCACGTCTGAATGATGTGGACTTCAGATATTTGGAAGACCTAACTGAGGTGCTTTAGGTTTGTCATAGCATGAAGAACGATCTCTCTAGCCACATTAGATGTTGCGTAAGCCAACCTAGATCTGTGAGACGACAACACGGAGGCCATAATAAGCACACACAAATAACTGTTGACTCACACAGTAACCCTCGGTACAAGACACGAAGGTAATGATCTCGCCAATTTAATGCACTGCACAGGCAAAACACCTTCAGAGGCCAGTTCCCAGAGAACTAGCCAAGACGGTTTAAAAATCCGATGGCGAGTGTTGCTGCAGAAATGCACCAGGTGATAAGACGAACCACCAATTGCCTCTATAGCAACGTAAGAGGACTAAGGAGCAAGGTGATAGAAATCAGGGATATGTGCTCTCAGATGGGTCTGAAGATCATAATCGTAACTGAAATATGGCTATCTCCCAACACTGCAGAAGACGAAGAGAGCTTGGAAGGTGAATCACTCTTCCGAAGCGATAGGATACACCAGACGAGAGGCTGGTTGACTTTTTATATTAACAGCCATTTAAAAGCTGAAAGGCTACACGGTACCCAACTAAACGAGCTGACAGAATCATGCTGGTGTTTTTTCCACACAAATTGCACGAAATACTTGACTGGAGGAATTTACCCCCCATCAGGTAAAAAGGCCTGGAAAGATAAGCTGACTCAGGCAATACTTCAAATGCCACTCCTTGGATTCGATCAAATACTTCAAGCGGAAGATTTAAACACTTCATCTCTTAATCTCAGCAAATGGGGTACAACTCCTACCGGTTAGTTCCAAAGACGATTTGGCGCATTCATTAAAAGTTCCGGACTGACTGAGCATATATGCGGCTCCACTAGATGGACTAAGGAAAAAAGTTCCTAAAGCATGGATTATTTGTTAACAAATGATCAGCTCATGGTCTAGGATGCTCGCGTCCACACACACTGACTATGACTCAGTCTTGTTTAACGTGGTCATAAACGACCAAAACATCGCCCACCTTTCCTAAAGTAGGGCAAATAACACGCGCATTAGAGAATCTCTTAGAAGCCCCATGGACACAGTAATGGTGCAGCTCAACTGTAAATGATCACTGGCAAACAGTGAGAGGTATAATCCAGAATGCTGTCCTAAACAGTGTACCTCAGTCACATCACACAGGAGAACGCTTTCTACAGGCGACAAAGAGGGTCTGTACTATTGAAAGGTTCCTCTGGAGGATCTGACATTATTTTTATTTGGGATTGAGAAACAGATGTAATGCCAAGATTTGAAGTAATACTGTGGTGCTGTGTTGCGAACTACTTATAAGTAGTATATAGCGTGAGCGTCAACGTAAAGTCTGGTAGCATAATATGGGGGGAAGATCAAGAAAGGAAGAGTCAGAAAACAATGGAATTTGTATCAAACGCATGAAGAGTGACAATGGATTGATGTTTGGCAACAGGAACAGTCCAGTTCCATAGGATGAACTGATCCTTTGCAAATGAACGATTTACGATATGGTTTTCCGATTTTACTGAGTAACTCTGTAATTTTCGTTAAATACAATCCGGTTGCCCCCACCTGTGTTCTCATTCACTGTCGCTGCCTGCTCGAAGGAAGGGGCTCCCGTGGCCGAAGGAGTTGCAGGACGGAGATTGGCGGAGCTTCCTGGAGGAGTTTGGGGCCACGGTGGAGCTGGTGGGGGCTTGGGGCGGAGTTGACGGTGCTGGGGACGCTGTGGGGAGGTGAGGCGAAGGCGGTGCACGACAGCCTGGACGGTGCCACCAAGGAGACGGCGTGGGAGACGGTCACCGGGCGGCTGATAATGGAGTTCGACAGCCCAGCGGACAGGGAGGAGGCGCCGCAGAGGTTCCGGTTGGCGCGGCTGTCGGCTGATGGTGACCTGTTGGTGCTTGCTGTGGAGCTCACCGGATTGCGCCGTGAGGAGTGGACGGGGCACAGTCTTTGGCGTCGCAATTTATCGAGTGTGTGCCTGCCGCCGTGTTCCAGCATCGGGAACTTGTGGACGCTACACGTTGGATAGATGCCGTATCCATTCCAGACCAGTGATCAAGAACGATGACCGAAGTGGTAATCCGGCATAGTGTAGCGTGTCACGGAATACGGAAGGTGATATTAACTGACCAGGAGCTCTGTTTTGAAGGACCACGACGACACCTAATTAAAAGGGGGGACGAGTGTGGTGCTGTGTTGCGAACTACTTATAAGTAGTATATAGCGTGAGCGTCAACGTAAAGTCTGGTAGCATAATATGGGGGGAAGATCAAGAAAGGAAGAGTCAGAAAACAATGGAATTTGTATCAAACGCATGAAGAGTGACAATGGATTGATGTTTGGCAACAGGAACAGTCCAGTTCCATAGGATGAACTGATCCTTTGCAAATGAACGATTTACGATATGGTTTTCCGATTTTACTGAGTAACTCTGTAATTTTCGTTAAATACAATCCGGTTGCCCCCACCTGTGTTCTCATTCACTACAATACTAGACGTTATCAGATGAAGCTAGATACCAAAAAACAGGTAAACCCTAAGCATCTGTTTAGGTTCCTCTCAAAATAAAAACTTGCGAGCCAGTGTGTTCATGCCATTATTCCGAATTACTGCTGACTTAGTACTAAGAAACTACAATTCCTACGCCCAGGAAGGTCACCAGGATGTGAAAATTTTCGCCCTATAGTCTTGAAACAGTGTACAGAAGCCCTCAGTTGACCGATGTTTTACCTGTTCGAGCATTCACTGGAGTCACACCAACTCTCAGATGAGTCAAAACAAGCTACTCTCTGCTTCATCTTCATTGAAGGAATTCGGAAGGATACAGTCTGTTACAAACCAGTCTCATAACTACCAATACCAAGATAATGGGAGGGCTGGTAAACGAAAATGAGGGAGTGTATGGATAAAAACAAAATTCACCATGAAGGTCAACACGATCTCCGTTTAATAATTACTGAAAGCCCTGATCCCGGTTTGAACGATATGGGGGACGCATATATATACATACAGGAGAATCAGAGGTTATCTGATGATGACGCAAAACATATTAAGCACACCAAGTCGTTCCAACGTCAGCATCTTACCGGAACATCACCACCACGCTCCTCGAGGAAATCCTGGAAAAATTGCGCATCAAAGAAAGAACATTCAGGTTCGCGCACACTTTTTCTCATTAAGAGTCGTTGCAACTTAGAATGCCCTCCCAACCCGGATGACTACAGCCCCCTCAGTGGAAGAAACTTGATAAACACGTACTCACATACGGATTATCATCTACCTCGTGGAGCAGCTGCTCCTGATGCATGTCTTCAGACTTTCTAGTTATTATTATCGCCATTTCCTAAGATCGCTAACTTAATCTATCTCGCTTACTATCTTTATCGCCTTTCATTCGCATACACTTGCAATTAATGAGTTACATTATACATTTATTCGCTTAGTTATCAAATGTTCTTATTGGCACTAGACTTTTCTCCTTATTATTCTTCACGTTGCAACTAACTGATCTGGTTACGTGATGGCTGCTGGTATTCAGAAACTCCAGTGTCCTGAAACAAGCGAGATAAGTCGAATCACAGGACACACAAACAACTGAAACCGACTAGAATTAGTTCAGTTGAGTGGCTAGACAACTATCCATTGGACAATCCCACATACCTGGAACCGTACCGATAGAAAAGAAATCGAGCGAGAAGAAATTAATTGGTTTATACTAGCTCGTGAAGAAGATATTAGTTATTGAAAGCCATTTAAGTGAAAGCTTCTAATTCGTACACCACTATTGAGACCATTTGAATTTCTCCCTTAAGGTCGTCAGCCCAGAGCGCGCGCCTTCACTCGACTCTGGAGGGCCAGATGTAAGATTTTGACAGTCTACTAATATATACGTATATATATATATATTTATATAGCTAGAATGCCTTTATTTTATCTAACTGCAGAAAATCCAGACCTAATTGCCTAGTATCTATTTGTGAAACTTTTACCCTATTAGACTTGAGAATTTATCCTATAGAGAGAGATCAATCGGATAAAAATTCCAGGATCTGTTCTGTGCCCCTGTTCCTAGTGTTTGGAATTTCCCCATAAGGTTGCTAGTAGATTTGTGATGTAACGTATTCCAAATACGCTTGTTATCATAGGAGGAGGTAAGTTCTTGAGACTAATGAGGTTCGAAATATCAACATCTAGGTCGTTGTAGACTGATAGAGAGATGCTTTCCACTGCAAACCGAATATTCACGGATTTTGAAGAAACCCATAAACTAAATACAAGTCTTTGGGCTAAACAGAATCACCATTTGTAAATTTAGTGTACTGATGACAGTAAGTGTGAGGGTATACAAGATAAACATGCATTTCTTTGGAGTTTATGTTAACTCACGACATCGATTGAAGGGTAGCTTATTAAATCGTTCCATAATAACCTCTATTTGCCACTAATGCAAAAGTGCTTACAGGTGATACTGACGCAACTGGTGTACAGTGCTGTCAAAACTGGGAAGTTGTACACAAAAACTACTGTCTGTGGGGAATGTAGGAGGGATTGTAGAATTATGTGACGATTGGTGGACAAAATCTCTATTTCATGAGGCATTTCGCCTAACTTTCAAAAAATGCGAATAGTGCTTAATTTAACACTTTCATTTAGTTTTCTCGCCTGAATTGACACAGAACAGTATACTTTTTACCTAAATGATCTGTTTCATGTACAAAAGCAGATGTACTGCCTTTATTTCCCGATTTATATTAATTGCGATTGTATGAAAGATAGAGAGAAATAAACTGAAAGCCCTATGTTTACAAACCCGTTGACTTCAGTATTTTCGCATTTAGTACAATTATTTTTCTATTTGGTAACTATTCATACTCGGCCAGTAAAAACCTGCACAACCCCATTCTTTTCATTGAATCAGCCACATACTTCACATCCCACACTCCCTTTGACTAGGCGTATATTGGATCTGAAACATTCGACGTCACAAAACAATGATCCTCACTTATTTTTTATTTGTCTCTGGTAGTGCCTCTAGTGAATTTGAGTAGAAAGCTTTCTTAGTTAAACTTACCCTCTTCACGCCAAGCTGAACGCATTTTTTATTCGCTGTATGGTTGTAGAAAAACAAGCATAGCTGTTTTCACACAAAAATCATACTCATTCTACAAAATTTTTAATTTTTATGAAATTTACAGGACTGCTATTTACACTCGATATCTGTTTGTGCATTTAAGACGGCTTTTCTTATTTTTCCTATTAGATGAAAGCTTCAAATAATCCATATTTAATAATGGTAATCCTTAAATTATGGTTTTCTGAAACCCGTGACATTTGTAACGTACCAAATTTTTTTCGTGAATAGTATTTATGCAGTTAAACAGTCTGCTTACAAGATTTTTCAGTTTTTTTAGTTAAGAGGGCTAATCTTAATTTTAAAAACAATATATAGGATAGATACAGCAGGGTCCTCGCTAGCTTGTATTTAGTCATCTTTTGCAAACTCTCAAGTCCTTATACTAGATGATCTCTAGGATTCCAACCGGGGAGTCTTTATAAACTGAGCTGTTCTGCCTAGGTGTCTTCAGGTTTTCTAAAAATATGATGGTGCCTCCCAACTAGAAATCAATCAACCAACACCTTTACCTTACATATTTATGCTATATTTTATTGTCTAGCTGCTTGGTGTAGTACTTATTGTTTCAGTTCTGACCAGTTTTGTTCTTATTGATTTTGCTGCGAATTTTGACGTCAAATGTATATGCGAACGTCTGATTTTCAGTCACAGGTTTGTTAATTTCGTAAACTGTTATTGTTCTGTGTAAACATCCCGTTGGAGGGATTCTCTTAACGTATTCCAAATGTCAAATATAATTACAGTGTAACAAGACGTAATTACCACTTGATATAAATGATTATATTTACATCAAAACGGTATTCTAACCACCTTTGTTTCACTCATCGGGTGCATGTACTTGACTTGGAGCTACACTTTATGTGTGAAAGCTGATCACCCAGTTGTGTAAACTGAAGTAGATGGAGCGGGGTCCAAACCCGAGGCTTAGCGGCTCAAAGTAAAACATCTTAACTACGGGACCATCACTCTACTTACAATGTATCAGTATTTCGACATTCTAGATTGGAATTATTTATTTACACGGATAAATCGTCCGCTACCTCCCATATATAGATTAAAATTACTGGATATGGCCATATTGGGGACTAAGTTTTTCCTGTAAATTGGATGATTTAGTGCACAAAAGTAATTAGTTAAACGTTAATGTGATGATTCTATTGTTTTGCGCTTAAATTCTTCAAGATAGAATTTAACATAAAGTATTAGTCAAATGAAATATTATTCACAGGGATAACGAACTAGAAAATATTTCTTAGTACGCCTTTAATCTACATTGAATCTTGGGTTCGTCCAAGTACTATTTAGCTTTTCACACTTTCAACCAACAGGAAAAGTTGCTTTTAGATGAAACTTCAGTTTATCTTCGATAAGCTCTGTTAACGTTACCCCTATCCAATCAATGTACAGTAAATACTTTCAGTTAATTTAAGTCTACATTATGTTAACTCCTCTTACCTACACTATTCAATCTCCGAGTCATCTTGATTTTATTAAATAGTCGTACCTTATACAAGGAATCACAGTACGAAATCTAAAGCTAAAATATCACACCTTATTACATACTAGTTAGAGACTAGAGGTTTATGATACATCAGGTGAGATAGGTTCACAAGTGGTGGTGATAAGATTCAAAAATATTGTTCATTCAAAGGTGCGAATGGTTTCATTTGCGATAAAATGTTTTGGATTTTGGCGCAAAATTCATTTATCCATGTGGTTAAATAGTATCCCGCTTTTATAGTTGATGTTAATTCGTGTTGAAAATGTCCAACTCTAATTCATAGCCCAGATATCCAACTCTACATCCTATTACTAATTCCTCACTAGTTTATAACACTGTTTTAACCATGGTAAGTAGGTGAATGTTCTCAAGATCACTTGACTATCGCCTAAAAGTCGTCCAAAAGCTAGTTTCACTGATTTCGTTTATTTTGAAACCTTTAACGATTTTCAAAGCCCTTTTCACGTTCATCCTTTCTCCTTACTCTAAATTTGTACTTATAAATCAACCTCATGGAGAGTTCAGTCAGTCATTCAGCTACAACGTTGAACTTCCTACGTACAGAGTTGAAAGTAAAGTTCTAGATTGATCGCCACGAGCACTATTTTGAACTTCCGCAATAATTATGGTGTCAGCCATTCAGTCAAAAAGTCATATGGACAGTTTTCACTTCAATTGCTCGTGTCGTTTTAGAATTTTTCCGAGAGTCCTGAAAAAGAAACTGGGTTATTGTAATATTGTTGATGACCTGAGAGTTTGACCCGAAAGCTCCAGAGATAACTGCTTATAGTTGGTCACATACGGCGTTTGTGCTATATTAGCTGCTTACTCGAGTCTTATCACCGACAGTTGAGATTTATGGGACAGGTTAAGGCTCTGATTAAATTAAATAGTGATGGTATTGATATGTTATGTTGAGAAACTTTTTGATCTTATATATGGGGATGATTTGTATCATAGTACCCAAACCGTATAGATTGAACTCAATCAGCTTGCGACTAGTATCCGTTAGTATTGCATGTATTTTAAACATTCCAAATGTAAAGTCAGTCAGATGCAACGTAGAACATCGTACGTAAGTACATCAGTTCATGTTGCCATAGCACATCAGCACAGAAATATAATTTTCAATTCAAATCCAATAGTAGAAGAGGTAGTAAAGGTTTTAGAAGTAATCGGAGAGGTTAGGATTAGAAGATATTCAAGAAATATGATTCAGTGAGAAAAGTTTAGAAAGTCAAAACTAGAGGTGTTGAAGAATCCAGAAGATTAGGATTTGAGAAAACATAAAGAATAAATACACCTGCGCCATTGCAAACGGTTTTGAGCCATGTCATTCAGGGTATCTAACCATCGATTATTATCATCTCGCGGACCCCAACCAGGTAGTCGACAACTACCGATATGGATCAGTCCACTCGTCAATGACTTCATGGATTTCTGTCATGTTTTGGTCTGGCCGCCCCTAGCTTTCTTCCAACCTATTCCTACACTACAAAACAAAGCTCGAAGAGGCAATCGGTGGTTAGGCATACGCAGCACATGTCCCAACCACCTCAACTGATGAAGTTTCATTACTTCATCTATTGATCTACTATTCTTACCTAGCACCCGATTCCTAATAACAGCGTTGCTTACTCGGTTGTCCCACGACATACGAGCAATGCTTCGAAGACACCTATGATCGAAAACCAGTAACGGACGAGTATCTTCTACTCTCATTGGCCATGTTTCACAGCCATAAAGTAAGAGCGAACTACTGCTCAGTACACTCGTACTTTAGTCAGCAGACGGATATCTCGCCTACGCCATTAGTGACGGACGTTGGCAAAAGCCAATCGAGCCTTCTGTATCCGTGCTGAAATTTCGTCAGTCACTTCACTCACTATCACTAGTTCAGGTGCCGATGCAACCCAGTCTTGAAGCAACATTTTGCATTTCGATGGTGAGGACCGGATCCCGAACATGCATGCTCAGGGTGGTCAGAAGACTCTGCATTTTGTCAGCGTCTTCACCAAGTAGGACAATGTCATCGGCATATTCTAAGTCAATAAGCGAGCCACCTGGTAAAAGGTCTACTCCTGAAGATTCAGACCAGGACAAGGTTATTTCTAGGAGCATGTCAATGATAAAATTAAACACTGAATGGAGGAAGTGGACATCCTTGACGGACACCACTTGATGTAAAGAATTCCGGTGACAGTTCGCCATACGCTCTCACTCGA